TGTGTGTGTGTGTGTGTGTGTGTGTGTGTGTGTGTGTGTGTGTGTGTGTGATGGTCTGTGAAGTGCTCTCTCACATTCATTGCTGTACAGGAGAGAAGTGCTGTGGTCAGGGGGTGCAAAGTCCTGACGTGACCTGTCTAGGGAAGCTGTAATGCTTAGGTGTGTGCACATCACATTGGTCAGGATTGCCCCTGAGACAGAAATGTTTGAGTTACACTCTTGATGGGTGTGCTAGTTTCTGTCAGGTTGACCCAAACTGACGTTATCTGAGAAGAGAGTATGCCTCCATAAGGTTGGCCTGTAGATGAGACTGTGGTAGATTTTCTTAGTGATTGATGGGGGAGGGCCCAGACCACTGGTCAGGTGGTCCTGGGCTGTATAAGAAAGTAGGCTAAAAGAACCATGGGTTGCAAGCCAGTAAGCAGCGCTCCTCCATGGCCTCTCTAGGCATGGTGCTGCACACCTTTAAACTGTCATGGCCTCTGTCTCAGTTCCTGCTTCCAGTTCCTGCCTTGAGTTCTTGACCTGACTTTCTTCAATGAGGGACTGCGTAAGCTGGAACCCTTTTCTCCCCAGGTTGCGTTTGGTCATGCTCTTTATCCCAGCAATAGAAACCCTAACTGAGGCAGTGATGAATAGGGGTTTGACAGGCACATTCCCTGGTTGTTGGGCCCATCCTGTGCCTCTTAGAACATATTCTCAGGATTGCCAGGCCCATCTGGGCCCCATCCTTCAGAAATTTAGAAAGGCCCAAACACAAACATCCTTTACGTTGAAGCGCCTGGGTGGTGGACGGGACAGCAACAATACCTTCCTCTCCTTCAGCTCAGCTTCCTGCCTTCTCTCAGCAGCTTCAGGCTGATTGAGCTGTTAAAGTTAAGAAATGGTGGCATGGACAGGGTCCCTCCAGGCTCTGTGGGGGGCCCCGCTCCACTCAAGACAGATTTTACCCCAGGAGGCTGGGACAGGAAGCAGGCTTTCTCTGGACGCCTCTTTTATAGCATCTCTTCCACGAGTCTCCATGCAGATGCCAGCAAGCATGGCGGCCTGGGGGAATGGCTGCCCTGGAGAAAGGGCACTTGTCATGTGCAGTTACTGCATTAGGTCTCGGCACAGTCGGACTGAGATCTTCTTTCCAGGAATTAGAAGTCACTTCAATGGTTCACTTTAAGGTGTTCACTGCCAGGTGGTGGTGGCACACACACCTTTAATCCCAGCACTCAAGAGGCAGAGGCAGGAGGATCTCTGTGAGTTCAAGGCCAGCCTGGGTTTACAGAATGAGATCTAGGACAGGTACCAAAACTACACAGAGAAACCCTGTCTCGGAAAATAAAAAACAAAAAACAAAACAAAAAAAAGGAACCTCGAACACTAAATGCCAACAATCTATGACAAACATAATGTCAGCTTCAAGGATAAAGGTGTGTACCACCACTGCCCAGCCATCGAGTATTTTTAAACAAACACTGAGCCACCCAGCCCCCTCATCCCCATTTTTCATACAGGTAAACTAAAGCTGAGAGAAGACAAGTGACTTGCCCAAGTTCTTCCCATTTTGGCAGTGGCAGTGGCAGGAACCCCCACCACCACCACCACCACGAGCATTAAGCCAGTCCACTTGTTTCAGTCTCCCACCCTGTGCTAGTTGGTCTAGTTGAGGTGATCCAGCCCTGCCCATAGCCCTGGTTACCCACATGCCTTTGAACTCTTGCACTGAGCTTCTCTCCTGGGGCACGCTAATACACCAGTCTGTCAGGCCCGGGAGCTGCAGGACAGCCCTCTTTCTCCCCTCCCGCCCCTCACAGGTTCATGGCTACCAGCGACCTGATGGCAGAGCTGCAGAAAGACTCCATCCAGCTGGATGAGGACAGCGAGCGCAAGGTGGTGAGGACGCTGCTGCGGCTCCTGGAGGACAGGAGCGGGGAGGTGCAGAACCTGGCCGTCAAGTGGTGAGTGGACTAGGGGTGGCTGGGGGCGGGGGTGGCGCTTCCCCTAGGGTGCAGCCTGTGACAATCATCAGGCAGTTTGGGGGCAACAATAGGGTCGGACGCTTAGCCAGCATTCCTCAGAGGTCGACCCTGCACCAAGGGTTCAAATCTAAGTTATGTGGGGGGTTATCCAGGAAATCGGAAGTGAAGTAGGGAAGGGGAGATGGGAGGGGTGTGAAAGCGTGCAGAAGGGGTTCTGTGGCTCTGGCAGGTCCCCAGGTGACGATCTGCTACCAGGCTTTGAGAAATGAGGCTGCAGATCTCAGGTTGATGGACCCACATTAGCAAGTGAAAACTAGTTAGACGTACATTGGAAGGCCCCACTTAGACTTTCTGGGGTTCCCAGCAGTCTGTGTTTAGTAATTCCCTAGCGGATATGACACCAGCTCAGATGTGAAAAACATTGCTTTGGCCACATGGAGCCACAGGGTGAGATACAAACCATGGGCTTGGGATGCACCTCTTGCCTAGTCGGAAAGGGTCCTCTTTTGAGCTGAGGTCTTTTCCTCAGCATGTGTGTCCCCACAAGCTTGAGGGGACCAAAGCAGGCAGCAGGATTTAGGGCGTGCCTGGAGCTTTGGGGCCCTTCTCCCTTCCTCCCTCTGCCTCAGCCTGGGTCCCCTGGTGGGCAAAGTGAAGGAGTACCAAGTGGAGACCATTGTGGACACCCTCTGTGCCAACATGCGGTCAGACAAAGAGCAGCTCCGGGACATCGCTGGCATTGGCCTGAAGACCATCCTCTCAGAGCTGCCTCCTGCTGCCACAGGTACCCAGGCCTGGTGCTGCTACTCGGCCCAGCTATGTTTCAAATACTGGGGCCAGGTGATTCTTCTGGGAAGCCCACACCTGTTCATGGTGTGCCTTCTGCATGCCTCTATTTCTCTTCACTGAGTGCTAATACCTGTATTAAATATCTTTACTAAGTGGTGGCCCATGCCTTTAATCCCAGCACTCTGGAAGTAGAGGCCGTGGACCAATATGAGTTTGAGGTCAGCCGGATCTACATAATTCCAGGATAGCCAGGGCTAAATAGTGAGACCTTGTCTCAAAATAAAAAAGAAAGAGGGAAGGAGGGCTCAGAGAAGTAAAAGGACCTACTTGGGGTCCTTCCGTGTTAAAGAATTCAGACCCAGGTCAGTTGAAATTCATGACTGCCTGTTTGTTAGGAATGCTTCCAGCCACAAGCAAAGAGCGTAGACTCGTGGCAGCTTAAAGACTTGCCGTGATCTCTCTGGAGGGATGGCTATTGCTCTTCTTCTCCTCCTTCTTCCTTTCCCTCCTCTTCCTCCTTTTTCCTGGTAGTAGTGCTAGAAGTCAAATGCAGGAGCTTGTGTGTGCTGGGCCCAGCTGCTCCCGTTCTTGTAGCAGTGGTTAGACCCACAGGGTCTCATTCTTCGTCCATGTGCTCTCTCCTGTGCGTGTAAGAAAAGACACATTTCCCCAAGCCATTCTGTCCCACTGGCCACTGCCAGCTGAAAGGGATTGGGAAAGGAAGTGTTTAACTTGTCCCCGCCCTGGTGGAATTGGGTGAGCCGGCCAGCAGCTCAGCCGTCAGTTTGTTCGCTCCCCAGGCTGACTCTGTAGTTGTTCCTTAAGACTTGAGTCAGCTGTGGACCACTGAAGCCCAGGCTTTCCTAGAACACGGACTTCTGGGGGATGCGGGCTCAGAAATAAAACCAGAGTACAAGCAAGCCAGAGTTGGGGGCTGCCCTCCCAGTCCAAAGCCTTACCCTGCCCACTTGTGCCCTGCACAGGCTCAGGGCTGGCTATCAACGTGTGCCGCAAGATCACAGGCCAGCTCACCAGTGCCATCGCCCAGCAGGAGGACGTGGCTGTGCAGCTGGAAGCCCTGGACATCCTCTCCGACATGCTGAGCAGGTGAGCCAGGCCACTTTGGGCAAGAAAGGAGGAGACAGGCGAGACTGTGATGAGTGGCCTGCATGCAATAATGTCACACTACGGAACTGCCTCTGGGCGGTCATTAGCTCCAAGGTCACACAGTCAGTAAACCTCCCATGGCTTATGCATTTGCTCTGGGGGCAGGAAAAACCAGGGTTAGCCTAGTATGGGCCTGCATTGCTCCTGGGGAATTGACAGGCAAGTGGCCAACTGAATATAATAGGTGGGTGGTTAGGTCAGGTGCAGGGCCCCAGCTCAAAAAGCCCTAGCTCAGCTTCTGGAAGGCTCCTTACTGGAGCTGAGGCTTCGGGGGCTTAAGCAGATCTAAGGGCATCACAGAGAGCAGAAGCAGGAGAGGATTGTGAAAGGTTTTGGGTTGTGGGCTCAAGGGAACCCCAGATTATCTTTTTGATTAAGAGTATAAGGGTTGGGCATGGTGGCACATGCTTTTAGTCCTAGCACTCAAGAGGCAGAGACAGGCGGGGTCTCTGTGAGTTCAAGGCCATCCTGGTATACAAAGCGAGTTCTAGAACAGCCAGGGCTGTTACACAGAGAAATCCTGTCTCAAAAAAAAAGAGAGAGAGATTAGAAGAGTTTTTCATAGCATGGAAAGACAGTATGGTGGTCTCTGCTCGGAGGTCAGGCCCATGTGGCAGAGGGGTCCCTCAAAGGTTTCAGAGGAGTTGAGACTTTCCATGCCATGTGGGTGATAATAGTCTGTAGCTGATGCCTGTAATCTGGCCATCTCTGATCCAGGGGTTAGGGAGGGAGTCTTGGATTTGGAGGAAGGAGTGAGGGGCCTATTGATTGATATGTATCCATTACTCAGGGGTTAGCCTGGGGCCTGTCCACGGTATCAGTGGCATATGATCATGACCTAAGCAGTCTCTGCTCTGGGTTCTAACAGACTTGAGCCCAGGGCTCCTGCATGGTGAGCTGATTGTGGAAGCTGTGTGCATCGATGAGGCTGGAGGGCTGGGCAGGAGCCCCAAGGACACACCTCTGCCTTCCTTGCCCTTTCCTTCTGTAATCTGGACAGGCAGGCTGGAGAGGAGTGTCTTTGTTTTTATATTTGTGGTGGGATTGAACCCAGGGCTTTATCCGTACTAGGGAAGAACTCGACCACTGAGATAAGTCTCTAGCCCCTGTTACTTTTTAAGACTCCGTCTCTCAGAGTTGCTCAGGCAGGCCTTGAACTCACTCTGTAGCCCAGGCTGGCCCTGAACCTGTAATCCTTATGCCTCAGCCTTCCCAGCTGGTGAGATTATAGGCCTGTGGCCCTAGGCCTGGCTTGACTTCCATGGGTTGTCTGAAAGAGGTAGACACCACAGGATCTGGAGCGGGCAGACTAGAGGAAACCAGGAGATAGAGGATTGGGGTAGGGTGCTCCAGGAGCAGGTGGGTGCAGTAGGAGGCGATGGGTTCCGTTTGGGCATGTTGAGTTTGTGGTACTTGAAAGGCACCCCTCAATCATGAGCTCCCTAAGGCCAAAGTCTGCCTTATGGCCTGACTTCCAGCATAGACCCTTTCACACAGTAGATGAATAAATAGGTAAAGACTGCAGCAGGGTGACCGGAGCTGGACACAGGACAGCGAGGTCATGGAGGGCAGCAGAGCAGGAAGAGAAAAGGCCTCAGGTCATTGTGAGACCAAACTCACCCAGAGCTAGTTTGACTGGAAAACAAGCTGGCCGCGCAGAGCCAGGTTCTGCCTATGGAGAAACTCTCTGAGGGTTGCCTCTTGCCTTGAGTTCAGAGCCCAGCTTATCCAGAGGACACTGGGGAGCCATGGCAGGATTGAGCAGGGAAGTGACCAAATGTCTTAGAATTTATACTACTCCAGTCACAGGAAGGAGGATAGATTCTGGGGTAGGTATTGAGGCGAACCTCAGACTCCTGAGAATTTGGAACATCCTCACTAGAGCCCGCATACCCACCACACTCCTCCCTGCACTGAGGGATTGGACATCTGGGCTCCGGTCTCAGACCTCCACTGTTGACCACACGAGCCTTCTTCACAAGGCAGTCTCTTTCCCGTAGTAAGTCACTCCTCACGTTGGAGGGGTCCCTTGCCGCTTTCCCAGGGTCTTGGCTGGGCTGCAGATCCAGTGGCCCGCCTGCCCTGACACTCCCCGTCCTGTCCCCAGGCTGGGCGCCCCCCTGGGCGCCTTCCATGCAAGTCTGATGCATTGTCTGCTGCCCCAGCTGAGCAGTCCACGCCTGGCGGTTCGCAAGCGCACCGTTGTGGCACTGGGTCACCTGGCAGCCTCCTGCAGCACCGATCTCTTCGTGGAGCTCGCCGACCACCTGGTGGACCGTCTGCCTGGCCCCCGCGCCCCCGCCAGCCCTGCAGCCATCCGTACCCTGATCCAGTGTTTGGGCAGCGTGGGCCGCCAGGCCGGCCATCGCCTGGGTGAGGAGCCGGGGCTAAAGTTCTGAGTGGGGCCTGGTGGGCGGGGACCGAACCCTAGCAGGAGCACAAACTAGTTTTCCTTTTCCGGGTCTTACGCCGCTGTGGCCTTCTGGAGGTGACCTCTGTGGAGGCTTAGAGACAGTCCTCCAAGTCATGATCTCAAACCCTTATGTAGAATGTGTGTGAGCCTTCTGCTCTGAAGGCTCACCTTAACATGTGAGCCAGGTTTGGAGTCTAAGCTTTCGTTGAGGATAATAGGTCTACAGTTAGCCACACTTTTAACGTGTACGCCAGCACACACTGTGAGTCCACATCACAGTCAAAACACTCAGCATTCCCACCGTCCCCCCTTCCCACCCCTGCCTCTGCCTTACCTCAGGCAGCCACCTCAGGCTTCATCAGGTCCGCTGTTAGCCACAAACACCTTAGGCAGGTGTTGCCCATTAGAACAAGACAGTGTGAGCAGAGCTAGCATCAGTCAGCCCCTCCTAACTCCTGGCTCTCACCAGAAGGGCCTTAGCGGCAGCTGCTCCTTGGCCACCCTCAGGAGCATTGATCTGGGAAATAGGCTGCATAGGCTTAGACGAGGGCTCATGTTTGGCTGGGCTGACACTGAGGTTCCAAGGACCTCAGAAAGTCTGTAAAGGAGTTTCTAGGGAGCTGGAGAGATGGCTCGGTGGTTATGTATGTTTGCTGCTCATTCATGAGGACCAGAGTTCAGGTTCCAACACTGGCATCAGGCTGCCAATAATGCCTGTAATTCCAGCTCCAACAGGTCTGATGCTCTTATTTGGCCTCTGAAGGCAACATATGTGTGCACACATATAAATTTAGAAGGGACGTTTAGGGATCTCCAGCTTAGCATGTTCCTTCTGGCACGGTGGGAAGGTTATGGCTGGAAGAGGGCTAGTGTAGCCTCTAAGCAGTGGTTTTTAACGTGGTTCGAGACCATTGGAAAACGCAGGTACTTACATTACGATTCCTAACAGTAGCAAAATTACAGTTATGAAGTAGCAACAAAAATAGTTCTGTGGCTGGAGGTCACCACACATGAGGAGCTGACTGTATTAAAGGGCAGCGTTGGGAAGGTTGAGAAGCACTGTTCTAAAGCCTGGGGACCAGGCGGGGCTCCCTCTTGTCCTCCTGTCTGCAGCTCACGCTCCAGTAGGGATAAGCCCAGCCCTGACAGTGACCCAGCTGCACAGCCTACTTTTTGTGTGCCTGATCTGGGCAGGGACTGGAGCTGAGCTCTGCCTGAGTCGTTGTCCATTGATCCCCACGCCGCGATGATCAGTAGACTCAGTCAGGAAGTCTTGCGAGCAGCCCGCAGCCCCATGGCACACAGGTAGCAACCAGGCTAGACCCCAGTCAGCATGTGTCCGAAGCCTCTAAGTTGAGTTTGCCCTCAAGGGTGGATTGGGCTGAGGCTGTGGGCTAGTAACTGAGGGAAGGTGTGGTTACTTCATGGACCCTTTGGCTCTGCAGGGGCCCACCTGGCTCGCCTGGTGCCCTTGGTGGAGGAGTTCTGCAACCTGGATGACGATGAGCTGAGAGAGTCCTGCCTGCAGGCCTTCGAGGCCTTCCTGAGGAAGTAAGGGCGGCTGTGGCACTAGAAGCCAGGCGGGGAGCTCCGTGGGGAGTCGGTAGGGATGCGGGGACAGGATGCCAGCCTCAAAACAGTCCACCTCGGCACCTCTCTTTGGGCCCCACCCTTGCTCTTCCATGCGGGGTTCCAGTGAGGCCTCCCCTCCTTGTCCCTCAGGTGCCCCAAGGAGATGGACCCTCACGTACCCAATGTGACCAACCTCTGCCTCCGGTACATGAAGCACGACCCCAACTACAATCATGACAGCGATGAGGACGAAGAGCAGATGGAGACCGAGGACAGTGAATGCAGTGAGCAAGGTAGGTGGACAGCCTGTTGTGAGGGAGAGCGGGGCCCAGCAGCCCAAGCCGGCTACACCAGGCCTGCCTGGCCGGACGCTGCTCCTCTCCAGCTGTGAGGTGTTCACGTGTTCAAGTGCCTGCACAGTTAAACAGGAATACCTGGGAAGACATTTGTCTGTACTCAGCAGGTAGACAGACGGCTGGCGCCAGGGCGTTTCTAGTTTACCAGGTGTTACAAGTATTTAGAGGTGACTTAAAGCTGGGAGTGGGGTGTGTAGGGTATGTGTGACTACCCTCAGATGCTGGTGTCCAGGCTCCCACAGGTCCCCAGGGACAACTCTAATCATCACTTCCTGAGCATCCACTGGTGTTCCGAGTCTTACCTCATATTCCTCATAGTGACCCTAAAAAACGTAACGGTGATCATCCTCATATTTCAGACAGGGAAACCAAGGAAACACCAAGTGACCTAGCCAGAACATGGGCCAGCTCTGACAGACTGCAAGCTACCATTTTTATAAATGGTTTTTGGGATGATGTTTTTAGCCCAGCGCCAAAGCTAGAGGTAGAATGGTGAGCACTTGGAGGGGCAAAGTCCAGGTGGGGGCTCAGTGGCCTCTTCCCCCTGGGCCTGAGGTCCTGTCCATCACTTGGGTTTCCTAAAGGCAGTGTAAAGATGGAGACTAGGGACTTAGGGCCTCGTGGGGTCTTAAAAAAAGTCAGACAGGCATACTGGAGCCTTGAATGCTAAACCAGGAGGAGCTGGGGCATTTTCTTGCCGGTAGCAGAGGGATAGGGATATTTTTTGAGGGGTGCACATGGTCCATTAAAGGAGCTGTCTGCTGAGCTGACCAGTGGACACGCCCTCTATAGGTCCTCCAGATTTCTTTGCTTTGTGAGCCTTAGTTGTCAACAGAGTGGCATGGTAGGAACACATGGTCTCAGATCTAGGATAAAGAGGTGCTCCTTGTCACCTCTGATCGTTCTGTTCTCCACTAGTGACATGGATGGGATCTGTCTTGGTTAGGGTTTTTATTGCTGTGAAGAGACACCATGGACACGGCAACTCTTTTTTTTTTCTTTTGGTTTTTCAAGACAGGGTTTCTCTGTGTAGCTCTTGGAGCCTATCCTGGAACTCACTCTGTACACCAGGCTGGTCTCGAACTCACAGAGATCTACCTGCCTCTGCCTCCCAAGTGCTGGGATTAAAGGGGTGTGCCACCACTGCCCAGCATCACGGCAACTCTTATAAAGAAACCATTTAATCGGGGTGACTCACCTACAGTTTGAGAGATTCAGTCCATTATCATCATGATGGGGAGCAGCTGAGAGTGCTACATCTTGCAGGCAACAGGAAGTCAACTGACTGTCACATTGAGGAAAGCTAGAGAAAAAGAGACCTCAAAGCCACCCCCAGTGACACCTTCCTCCAGCAAGGCCACACCTCCTAATAGTGCCCCTCTCTTTGGGGGCCATTTTCTTTCAAACTACCACAGGATTGAATCTCTGCTCTGCAGTTTCCTATGTTTCCTGAGATCTCTCACCATCTCTGAGCCTTGGTCTTGACATCTGTAAAATGGGGCCATTAGCTCCTTTGTCCTGGTTGAGTTGTGATCTGCTGACTCTCAGGCCTATAGAGTAGAGGCCGCACATACCCATTCTTTCTTTGGTGCTTGAACACCTTTGAGATCAGGGCCTTTGATTGACCAGGACTGGGTTAGCACCAAGACCCCAGGGAGGCCACCTTTCTCTTTGGAAATGGCCATCCTGAAGCCAGAGAGTGGGCCTGAGCCTCAGAAAGTTCTGTGTCTCCACTGCAGACTTGAGTCCCTGTCAGTCTTTTTTTGGAAGAGGACGGTGGCTCACTAAGTATTCCAGACTGGCCTTGAACTCACGACCCTCCCACCCCACCTCAAGTGCTGGGATTACAGGCCTGAGTCAGCATGCCGGCACCTTTCTTCCTTGATGTCGTCGGACAAGGAGCTGGAGGCAGGAAGGGCTGTGGCTGAAGTGTAGAGATTGTACATTGGGTCAAGCCAGTTCTTGTCTCTAGGCCCCAGTTCTGTTCTCTGCGATGGGGAATGATCCTTGCCCCACAGGCGAGATTGTGGATCGAAGGGCATGATGCCATCTGAGCACACCCCAGGTGCTCACTGGGTGGGGGCATTCCCAGTAGGCCGTGAATGCTGCTCTTCAGAAGGTAAAGCCAGGGTAGGACCCCCACTGTCTTCTTCCCTGAGCTGAGGACCACGGCTCTTCATGTCTCCCTCTTCCCCAGAGAGTGAGGACGAGTACAGTGATGACGACGACATGAGCTGGAAGGTGCGCCGAGCAGCAGCCAAGTGCATGGCCGCCCTGATCAGCTCTCGGCCGGACCTCTTGCCCGACTTCCACTGTACTCTGGCACCAGCACTCATCCGCCGCTTCAAGGAACGGGAGGAGAACGTCAAGGCAGACATCTTCGGGGCTTACATCAAGTTGCTGCGACATACACGGCCCCCAAAGGGATGGCTAGAGGCCGTGGAGGAGCCCACCCAGACAGGCAGCAACCTCAACATGCTGCGGGCACAGGTGGGCCATGTCCTTGCCTACTCTCCATCCTTCCTTCCTCCTCCCCACCCCCATCTCTTCGCTGGCTGAGGGATGTGGCCTGAGCCCCTCTGTGCACAGCCCGGGCGTTCAGATGGAGTCCTGCCTCATCCTTGTTCTGTGTGGTGCAGGCCTGGGACACATGGGCAGCAACACAAGTGGGCTTCCAGGAGCGAGAAGGGCTTTGTTTCATTCCAAGAGGAAGCAGCTACAGGCAGGGGGTGGTAGAGTTTGCTTCACTTTAAAGAAGTTCTTCTGGCTGCTGGGTGAGGAATGGATTGTGACCAGACAAGAGTCATGGCTGGGGACCAACAGGAGGACATTGCAACTATGTCCAGGGGACAAGAGATGTTGCCTTCGGCTCAGTGGAAGCAGAGAGATTGAATGGTCACGCAGGCCTGAGAAGTGGGTTTTAGATTGAACCATTGGATCTTGCTGATGATGGGTTGCTTGTGTCTGGGACAGGCAGGGAGCAGTTGATCTCTTGGCCTCCTGGGATAGGGGACTCTGAGGAGGAGGGGACATCTGCATCTCTGTACATTTATGGTTGAGGTCCTCATTAGCTTTCAGTAGTAAATTTTCTGTTAGTATAATAAAATGCAGAGGCTGGGTCCCTGCTAAGAAGAGCCTTGTCGAACTCAGGTTTGAAACAGTCCAAAAAGCATGGTCCCTGCCCTGATGTGGATTGCCTAGCTGTGTGACATCTTTGTAGATAGCGTGACTACACAAAAGGAAGACATCCCATGATAAAACAGGAAGACAGAAGGATGAGGCGAAGCCCTTATATTATAATCAATGTGTCCAGGAGAACTAGTTCATCCTTTTTAGTGACTTCCTGATATTGCCACCTTTTAAAGGTCCCTCCTCTTCCTAGTACCCCCACCATACTGGGGACCAAGCTTCCAACCTGTGAGTGCTTATGGCCACATACTTTATTCAGACTGTAGCAGATGCCTAGGTTGAGCCATAGGTAGTCAGAAAATGTGCAAGCTGGATCAGAGATAGAGATCAGGGTGGCACCGGTGCCACTGGTTCAGGAATATATGGGGAGTGTACCTAGGTAAAGAAGAGAAGGGCCATATGCTGAAGACGGCCAGGCCTCTGCTTCCCTTCATAGAGATAGAGGTGACAGCCAGGCTGCTGGGCCACCTTGAGCCAGTTCCTTGTCTGCGTTTATGAGATGGAGGCAACCACCACTCTGTCTGCAGTCTGAACCAGGTGACTAGTAGAGGCTGGTGGACACTGAGGTGTCCTCTCTATGTTGGGCTCCTCCCTGGGGGAGGCCTCCTGGCTGGTTCCTGAGCTCCCCACCTGCCCACAGGTACCCCTAGTGATAAAGGCCCTGCAGCGGCAACTTAAGGATCGGAATGTTCGGACCCGCCAGGGCTGCTTCTACCTCCTCACCGAGCTGGCAGGCGTCCTCCCTGGCAGCCTGGCAGAGCACATGCCAGTGCTGGTTTCAGGTAGGCTGGGCTTTCTCCTCTTGGGCCTCTTCCAGAATCCAGCCCCCACCCTATACTGAGCCCTCAATCCCTGGGAGCCCAGGCGTTATTTCTGGGCAGGGCCCTGTGTGATCATGGCCTACGGAGGTTCCCCTCTGACCAAAGGGAGAACAAGGCTGCTTCCAAGTCTACTTTGTGGCTCCAGGGGAGTTCTGGCCTTGTTTCTCTCAGCTCTGGTGGCCTCTGGAAACTTCTGTCTGGGAGCTTTGGGTGCTTTGGTTCAGTGCAGATGCCTTGCTCGGTCACTACACCCCCAGACTGAGCCAGGCTGAAGGGCCCCTAACCTTGGTTCCCACCCACAGGCATCGTCTTTTCGCTGGCTGACCACTCCAGCTCCTCCACCATTCGGATGGATGCCCTGGCCTTCCTACAGGGGCTTCTGGGTACGGAGCCAGCTGAGGCCTTCCACCCACACCTGCCCACCCTCCTACCACCTGTGATGTCCTGCGTGGCTGACCCTTTCTACAAGGTGGCAGCTGAGGCCTTACTGGTGCTCCAGGAGTTGGTGCGGACCCTGTGGCCACTGGATAGCCCTCGGCTGCTGGACCCCGAGCCATACGTTGGAGAGATGTCCACAGCTACCCTGGCACGACTCCGTGCTACTGACCTAGACCAGGAGGTGAAGGAACGGGCCATCTCTTGTGTGGGCCACCTTGTGGGTCACCTTGGTGACCGGCTTGGGGATGACCTAGAGCCCACGCTTATGCTTCTCTTGGACCGCCTACGGAATGAGATCACCCGGTTGCCAGCTGTCAAGGCGCTGACCCTGGTGGCTGTGTCCCCATTGCGACTTGACCTGCAGCCCATCCTGGCCGAGGCACTGCCTATCCTGGCTTCATTTCTGCGCAAAAATCAGCGGGCACTGCGGCTGGCCACGCTGGCTGCCCTGGATGCTCTGGCTCAGAGTCAAGGCCTCGGCCTGCCTCCGCCTGCTGTGCGGGCTGTGCTGGCTGAGCTGCCGGCTCTGGTCAGCGAGAACGATATGCATGTGGCCCAGCTGGCCGTCGACTTCCTCGCCACTGTGACCCAGGCCCAGCCCTCCTCTCTGGTGGAAGTCAGCGGACCTGTTCTGGAGGAGCTAATGCAGTTGCTGCACTCACCCTTGCTGCCTGCTGGGGTGCTGGCAGCCACTGAAGGCTTCCTACAGGCGCTGGTGGGCACCCGCCCTCCGTGTGTGGAGTATGCTGAGCTCATTAGCCTGCTCACTGCACCCGTTTATAACCAGGCTGAGGATGGAGGACCCGGCCTGCACAAACAGGTGTTCCACTCCCTGGCCCGGTGTGTGGCTGCCCTCTCAGCTGCCTGCCCCCAGGAGGCGGCGGGCACTGCCAGCCGCCTGGTCTGTGATGCCAGGTCGCCCCACTCAAGCACTGGGGTCAAAGTCTTGGCATTCCTGTCACTGGCTGAGGTGGGCCAGGTGGCTGGGCCAGGCCCCCAGAGAGAGCTGAAGACCGTGCTTCTGGAAGCCTTGGGATCTCCCAGTGAGGACGTGAGGGCTGCAGCCGCGTATGCCCTGGGCCGTGTGGGTGCTGGCAACCTGCCTGACTTTCTGCCCTTCCTGCTGGCACAGATTGAGGCCGAGCCCCGGCGACAGTACCTGCTGTTGCATTCACTCAGGGAGGCCCTGGGGGCCGCCCAGCCTGACAACCTGAAGCCCTATGTTGAGGATGTCTGGGCACTGCTCTTTCAGCGCTGTGAGAACCCCGAGGAAGGCACTCGGTGTGTGGTGGCTGAGTGCATCGGGAAGCTAGTGTTTGTGAACCCTCCCTTCCTCCTGCCTCGATTCCGGAAACAGCTTGCTGCAGGTAAGGACACAGTGGCCCAAGTTGGCCCAGCACAAGGTGGGCACTTGGTCCCCAAGCATCTACATAACTCATGCAGATCACTGGAGATGAGCGTCACATGTATGTTAATCAAGGAAGATAAGCAAGATAGAAACATGCTTCCCAAATGTACAGGCTTTCTCCTGCATGGTCTCTGGGATAGAGGGACAAGGTCTTTTGTTTTGTTTTTCTTCAAGATTTATTTTATGTGTATGGGTGTTTTGTCTGCATATATTTATGCGAATATCCATGCATTGCCCTCAGAGGCCAAAAAAAGGGCATCAGATGCTCTGGAACTTGGGTTATTGACAGCTGTGAACTGCCATGTGGGTGCTTGGAAACAAACCCCAGGTCCTTTGTAAGAGGGGCCAGTGCTTTTAACTGCTGAGCCATCTCCAGCCTAAGGTTTTTTGATAGGCCCCTACCTCAAACAGACCTCACCCAAGGGGTCTGCATCATAGATTCAACTCACCTGGATCAAAAATACCCCAAGAAAATATTGTGTCTGTACTGAACGTGTGCAAAATTTTCTTGGTTTTATTTCTTTTTTTTAAAAATGACATTGGCGTGTGTGTGCATGCACGCACATTGCCATGGCATGCATATAGAGGTCACAGGACAACTTATGGGAGTTCTCTCCTGTCATGTGGATCCCAAGAATTGAACTCTGGTCATCAGACTTGGTAACAAGTGCCTTTATAGCAAGAGCCATCTTGAAAGCCCCTTTTTCCTAGACAGTGTAGATTAACTACTGTTGACATGTTTAATGTCAACATTGAAGGACGTGGGAGGGTGTGCCTTGGTTCTGTGTAGACACCATGCTGTTTTGTGGAAGGGGCTGGGTGTCCTTGGGCTTAGTCTCTAGAGAGATCCTGGGTCCTATCCTCTGAAGATACTAAGGGGTAAAGTACAATTTAAAGTTTCATGATGGCATTAGGAATACAGGATTATAAATCTATAACTCTGTAACTAGGAATATATCCCAGCTACGTGGGAGGCTGCGGCAGAATTATGACTTCAAGGCCTACCTGCTACGGAAGTTGAAGGCCTCCCTGTGCAATTTAGTGAGACTGACTCCAAAGAACGGAGGGCCTGGGGCCGTAGCTGTCACTTGGTGGTAGAGTGTTTGCTGGTGATGCATGGGGCCCTGGGTTCCATTCCTAGCGACTCACAAGAAAGTGAAATAGAGTGGAATGGTAGTGTCTGCCTTGATCCTGGCACTCAGGAGGCAGAGACGGGAGGATCTCTGAAATATAGGCCGGCCTGGTCTACATATTGAGTTCAGGGCTACATAGACCCTATCTTTAAAAACATCATCATCATCATCAAAGTAAACCCATTGATGTCATTCTCATTATCCCTTCTGTGGACATGAGCTGCAGTAGTTACTTTCCTCACTGCTGTGACAAAATACGTAATGGAACTGACTTTCGAGAGGGTCCCATTCAGAGGGACAGTCAGCCATGGCATGAGAGTTGTGGCCTCAGGAGCTTGCAGCGTGGCTGCTTCACATCTTGATGGACCAGGAGAACAGTTTGGATGGATCAGGCTGGTTTCAAAGTCAAATGTAGCCATCCAGGCTTACCATCAGCACCTACTTCTGCCAGCTGGGCCCCAGTCCCAAAGGTCACACCAGTTTGCAGCTGGGGACCAAGCTGGAGGTATGTGAGCCATGCCCTGGTATTACCTCCATCCGTAGGGATCTGTGTGAGCCCTTCATTTCCCCAGCTCTTTAAAGTCAGCAACAAAGTGAAATAAAGTGAGTCCTTCGTGACATCATGCTTAGGGGACTTGAGTGCTGTGGGAATCCCACGGGCCTCCACCCTGACAAAAGCTCAGGCTTCTGCTGTGTGGCCTTAAATATGAGCTTGGCCTCTCTGAGTCCTTCTTTCCTGTGTGAAGCACAGACCAATAGTCCTTCATAATTCTGTTTGGTTTTGAGACAGAGACTGACTTTGTAGCCCAGGCTGACCTCGAACTCCTGAAGATACTCCTGGGTCCTTTGTGTAACAGGTCAGCACTACCACGTCAGCTTCATTATTTTAATTAACATTTCATTATTATGTGAGTTTGAATGGAGAGGATATCAGGAAAATGCAGTGTAGTCTCAGCTGGAGGCACGACTTTCCCAGGTCCTAGTGCTGTGTTTGCACCTGCAGGGTGGTGTCAGGACCCACCCACCCACTCTAGCTGCAGGAGGAAGAACTGGGCAGATGCAGGGCTCCACAGGACGGAATCCCATGGACTTCCTGGAGGAGGTTGTTTTTCAAGTAGGGAGAGGGGTACTGTGTTTGGCTCCCGCAGGCCTGCAGGTTGACCCCTGCCCACACTGTCACCTCTCTTCTTGCAGGTAAGCCATACACCCGGAGCACGGTCATCACTGCAGTCAAGTTCCTCATCTCAGACCAGCCACACCCCATTGACCCCCTCCTGAAGAGCTACATTGGTATGTGTCCCCCAGTCCCTGTCTTGGCTGAAGCTAGTACCCTTCCCCCAGGTCTGGAGTTTGGTAGGATGTCTCACAAATGAGCCAAGGGTGGCAGACTCCAAAGCAACTCTGTGATGGGCAGCAGGGCACACTCTTGAGTGAGGATCTGCCTTCAGGCCTTTTGTCTGCACCAAGGCTCTGGTAGGCCTAGCATGCCCCTTCTTACAGATGAACCTTGCTTCCCCTCTGTCAAATGGGTATGAGAAGTTTCTGGAACAGGTTTTCTTGGAAACAGCTTGCTGGGGTGGGAAGTGCTGTAAATGCACAGGCTCTGAGGATGAAAAATAAGTCTGAGCTGGTGAGCCCCACGTGAACAAGTCTGAGGATGCCTGAGCGGGAGGAGCCTTGGTGGGGTAGGCCAGGCCTTCCCTCGGAACCTCCTGCAGAACCAGACTTCTTGCCTTCGAAGCACAGCACCTGCATCTTCTCAGGGGCCACAGCAGACTCAGCCCTCCTCACCCAGTAGGCAGCCCCATGGAATGTAGAGGGAGCCTTGGCTGTAAAGGCGGACTTGTGCGGGCAGGCCATTTCCATCTCAGCTATCAAATAGGGTGCTGACCCACATGCCAGGGCGCTGGGCAGACCAGAGGGCCAGTGGCATGACCACTTTTGAGTAGAGACTGTATCCTTGTCTCAGTCACCTCATGGCCTGACCTGGATGGCCGCACCAGATTTCCAGCCTGAAGAGCTGCTGTGG